AAAGTTTATTGTTTATCAAAAAAGTTATAAATACACATTGTAGGAAAAAAACAACAGAATAAAAATGAACCAACCCCTCTTCCTAGAACTCAAAGAAAATTACTTATATCTTATTATAATTGATCCTAATCCTTTTGTCTCTGTATGTGTACTCCCATCCTATTAAATTTCCTTTCTGAAAGCTCATTAAACACACTAGAACTTCTTGGAATTTTTGAAAGGGACATAGACATGTGCATTTCATGGCTGCCCCAGATCTCTTTGGCTTCCCTCTGGTAAATACCATCTCCTGGGTGTTATTTTTCTATTGAATGCTCCTGGTGGGAATGTCACATCAAATGTCCTGTGTTCCCTTACCCATGGGGCAAGCATCTGACCTAAGTCAGACCAATCAGCTGCTCCTTTGCTGGAATTTGGATCTTGAAAGAAGTGACAGAAAAGAAATAAGTGAAAATGGCTGGCACTAGGCAGTTTCCATGTTCTCTCCACCTCTTCTGCACCTCCCGAAGAGCCTTGGTTTCTGATCCTGCTTCTCTGAACTTTGTGTCAATCCTACGAATGCTCCCATGTGCTTCCAGTAACTTTCCTTTATGTTTAAGGCAAGAAAGGTTCATTTCTGTTGCTTGCAACTAAAGAATCCTGGGTGAAAATGTGGCCAAATGAGTACAGGGATGATGAGAGGTTTTATCTTAAGTGGACAAAATAAATAAAGGAACATGTTCTGAGAAATACAGCTTAACACTTGTGAACAGGACGTCATCTGTGCAGACAGCCCCAGAAATGCCATTCACAAGGACAGAACTAAGCCACAGCGAGATTTAGCCGTAGTAAAGAGTGTGAGTTCTGCAGTCAGAGAGCCTGGGTTAAGTCCTCATTCTGACATGAACTAGCCATGTTGCTAAACCTCCCTCTGGCACTGTTTCCTCATCTATTAGAAGAAAACAATAAAACCAAATGTAAGGGTTAAACAAGAACACACATTAACGGCATAACACAGCAATCATTCGGTACACTGACAGTATGAACATTAATTGTGAGAAATTTCACTCTTCAGGGTCAGGATGATTAGAAAGATTCTGTCTTTTAGTTGGATTGTGCTTCTTTGGCTTAGTTTAGCAATCTTTGCCATCAAATGGGAACGGTAGATTTAATTCAATGTACCACTGATATCGTTGGGGTTAATTTCACTCTATTGCTATTTATTTTTCTATTTATTTCGAATTCTTGATTTGTTTTGAATATACTAAGGATTTTAGATTAGATAGGATAAAACCATCATTCTTTCAGGGGTTTGCTTTGAAAACTACAATATACATCCTTAACTTTAAGTAAAGTCTGATGTAAATTAGCTTCCTAATAATAGGCCATGTAAGGAACCTAGCATCTTCTGCTTTTTGACTCCTTAGCTCCCTCTCACCTCAAATGCCCATTTGTGTATGCCCAAGTCCCTGGTAACATTGCCTTGGTGCGGGATGATTTCATTCAGCTTCTGCCAAGCAGGTAGGCTGAAAATCCGATCAAAGACTTTCTGAGATTTAGATGACTCGAAGCTGGGCTTTAGTCTTTGGGAGGGCTGGTATATTTCCAACCTTCTTCATGCCGACTAGGAGTTTTACCAAGGTTTCTTAACCTCAGTGCTAATGACATTGGTGGACTAGAAACCCCTCTGGTTGTGTGAGCCATCTTATGTATTATAAGAATTTTAGCGGCATCCTTGTCCTCTGCTCATTAGATGCCGTGACTTGCTCTCGATTATGGCAGCCAAAAACGCTTCCAGACATTATCAGATGTCCCTTGGAGCAGCAGAAGTGCCCACATGGGAAAGCACTGTCCTAGGTATAGACCAACAGTATCTCCCCAGAAGTCCCCAGCCCCTGAGACTGTCGGAGCACCTCTGTGTCCTCAGCCTCTTTGCTGTCACTTTGAAGTTGGGGGGAAAGCTACCCTGAATGGGAACCTCACCTCTTCCGGCTCCCTCCTACCATGGGATGGGGAAAACAGACTCTGCCCAGCTTCTTAGCCTAGCCAGAAATTTCACATCCTGTGTATGTATTTGCTCTTTTAATTCTCAACAGAAACATTGATCTGAAATGACCTAGGTCATCACTGCAGAACTCAAAAATGACAGTCACTAGGAAAGAAGATCCTCAATAATTTCTTTTGAATATACCTACAGAGGACTGAAAATTCTCCGAACAGATCTCGTACACAAGGTACAGTTGGAGAACATGTGATACTTAATAATAGACTGTTCTTAAAGGAGCCTGGGACTGGATCGGTCTCTGTTTGGGGCATAGCTCTGTGCATCGTACCTCTCCTAAAGTGAGTTGACACATTAGTTAATATAAGAGTATACACACGTTTTTAAAAAAACAAAATTAAAAGACTTCAGTAGATCTACATAGTACATGTACATCTCCAAAAAAATGTATAATAGCCAGCTGTAGCAGGAGAAGTTTTATTGCAAGCTAAATTCAATCCCCACCCTTTCTCCAGCTGTGTGACCTTAGCCAAGTCAAGGCTCAGGGTCTGCGGCGAAATGAGGTTGCGAGATGAGGCGATCCGTCACCGCCATCACTTCCAGCCCTGACAGCTGAGGAGTTTATCAGAAAATAGGCTCGCGATCATCGAGAGCACCAAACCCAGCCGGGGGAAGCAGCACGCTGAGGAAACATCAGTCCTGTCTCATCCACCTGCTCCCATCTCAGGAGACAGTCCTAGTTTAGAAGGCGAAGGAGACCTGTCCAGAGTGGGATGTCTGCCTTCCAGACGCATCTGACAGGATGTGTCTAAATGTCCTAGGGAAGTAGAGAAGCGTGGGCTGGGAGAGCACACACCACACGCGCACACATGCACACACACACACACACACACGCACACACACACACACACACACACTCCCCTATGGTTTTCAAGACCCAAAGAATTCTGATTTGCAGGTAGATGTAGATCTACCAGGGCAATCTGTGGTGTTACAGGTCTGTTGTCCGGCAGCCCCTTCTGGGCTCTTGATTGCTTGGGACCAGTGATTTGAATTCTTCAAAAGTATGAATTTTTCAAAGAGGCAATGAGATAAAATGAACTCTAAATCATCCTCCTGTTCATTCTCTTTCCTCTTGGAAGTGAAACACTTCTTTCTCTCCAGCTCTGCCTGAGTCTAACGCCTACAGCATCATAATGCCCAGTGGACCCTCCGGCTTCCAAGGTTGCTCTCCTTCTCTTCCTTGGCTGCTTCCCTACCATGTCACCCTCTGAATTTACTAACCAGAGTAAAGGCATTGTGAGCAGCTGATTCCTGCTGAAGTTCTGGGCTAGGGTGGCGGATGGCAGGCAGAGCATAGAGCAGAAAAACAGCTTCAAATGAAAAGTCAGACATCAAATACCTCAAAATATGTTCTCCACTCCCTGCCATAGGGAATACCAGATCAGTTTTGTCCCTTCTCCCCTTCCTCACCAGCGTGGAAAGCCACGTGCATTCTTTATCTGTCCTACACAAATCTCCTGGGCCCTGGTAACTTCTTGTCTTGCCTCCCGCTGGATATTCAAAACTCTGCCTTACTTAGCGGCACAAATATGTTCAGTTTCTACTGACCCATCTTTTCTCCTCCAACGTGCAACTCAGGTAGGACAGGGAAAGAATGAAAGGGGCTTTGATGTCTCCAGCTAAGACACCTGCCAACAAGTTTTCCTGCACTCTGGACTCATCCACCCAAGAGAAAAATGTTGCCATTCCACACCGTGAATTGAAACACCACAAGTATGTACCTCCAAATATGCACAAAATTCTGTTTCAATTAAGAACAAAATAAAACTTTTTAAAAAACATACTGTGGGAATTGCCAATTTTCTAACATTGGGATTCTATGGCTCTGTGGCTTTACTCAATTTGTCTTCAGATGGCTAAATGCTTCAGAAACAATAAGCACTCTCTGCACTCTGACTCCCTGGCCAAGGAGGGGAAATTAAAGTTCATAAGTTTCATGGATCAAAACTTCCTAGAATACAGTGACAACTGCCGTGCATTTGCAAATCTCTGCTCTCCTTTGTGTGTTTGTACAAAACCGAATATACTCTCATCCCCATTCAAGAAACTGAAGCTTAAAATCCAGTAGAAGCATGAAGCAGTGACAGAGGATGAAACAGAGTAAAAATGATTTGAAGGGAAAAAAAATACAAGCACTGATCTGTAGCCAGAGGGAATGAAATGTCCATGCCAGCAAAAGGAATGGACTAAATGAGATTCAAAAACACCACCCTCTCCTGTGCCTCCCCGTTGGGTGCTGGTGGGGAGCTGGGAGCGTTTCCCAAAGCTATTTGCATGCTCTGCGTCCCTCTGGGGGAGGCAGCAGATAGCAAGACAGATGGTTATGGGAAGTGTGGGAGAGTCTGACGTCAAGTTTCTAAGCCAAATGGTGTTTTCCAAGTTCCGCCTCAGAACCCGTCCATAACAAACCCACTGCCTCAAGCCGTGCCCACTTGAGCCTCTCTCACCCCTTTGACCCTAATAACTTTCCTTCCCTATACTGAGACCATAATAGTAACACACGCCTAGCTGGTTCAACACGTGCTGCCTCGTCAGCTGTGGGGACTCAGGCTTCACCCTTCAAGTGTCTCCCTGAAGGGCCCTGCCTGGGCTCCCTTTGTACCCAGCTAGTACTTTGTACTGTCGTTCTGCCTACTCAACACACACTTACCAAATCCCTTCCCCACGCCCACCTCTGTATTTTTTTTTTCATGGGGACTTCCTTCTAGAAAAGAAAGACAATAAAGACATGAATAAAATGAGGAATTCCCCACTCCCAGTTCAAGCCTAAGCTTTATTTCTCGGGTGACCACGGAGTATTGCACTGGCCTTACTTGGCAGTTTCCCAGGCCAAAAGCTGCCCTCCCTACCCCAGACATGGGCACAGCCAGTAAGTATATCACAGGCTGTGCAGGGAGCTGTGAAGAACCCATTCCCTTAGGCCCCTCTGCTGGCCCTGCTCTTTCCATGTTTTTATCCCTGCCCCTAGATGTCCCTGTCTGAATCCTCTTCAGGCTTTTCTGCAAGGTCCACCTATGGATGACAGAAAGAAAACATCGGAAATAACTGTTCCCACAGCACTCAGCACCCCGGACTTCCCCGCCAGCCCTCCCTCTCCCAACCCCTTATTCGCAGAACTGATCCCTCCATGTGGGCCGGCCCTGTGCCTGCTCTGGTCCAGCTCCTGCACTGCACCATTCCCTGGGACCAGGAGCTTCCCCAGGCTTAGCCTCTGGCTTGCACCATCATGGAAAGTGGGAGTCCAGTCCATCCGGGCTCCAGGATACTTTGGCAAATTCCTCCTAAATCTGAGAACCCGCCTCCCCTTCTGGCGCAGCTCCACTCCCGACAAAGAAGAAATAAAATAATTACAGACGATGTCACATCAAATGGAATTTTTTGTTTTATCTTGGAATTTGGCAGAAGCCCCAGTAATAAATAAAACCCACCATTCAAAGAAACTTAGCCAAAAGTATAAAGGTATAGATGACCTATTCAGGACAGTCATGGGTCCACTGAGCTACGGTCACCTCCTCCTGTGAGGAGAGGAAGAGGCAGAGCTGCAGGTTACTGGAGATAGGACTCCAGGGCCACCACAGGACAAGAGCACAGAGCAATGAGAGATGTTGCTGCGATTTCCCACCTCCCAGAGCACAGGTACCAGAAAAGACACAAAAAGGCAAGAGGCTAGCAGTAGCAGCCAGGGAAAGGGTAAAAGGAAAGGGCTGCTTTGGGCACAACCTGACCTTCCAAGTGTAAGGACCAGGGCCTAATGTGTTACCAGAGGCCCAGTGGGCACCATCCGAAGATGCCTAGCCTGAGTCATGCTGAGCCACCGCCACAGACAGGGCCATACAGCAAAGCGGCTGCAGGGGACCCCTGGACCCCCGGGCCAAGGGCTCCTGGCGGGGTGCAAGACTCCTGCACAAGGGGGACTTGTTCCCAAGAAAGAGTCAGCAATTGTTTATCTGCTTTGGCAGAGGACATCTGGCAGCCAAGAGTTGTACTAGTGCCCCAAAATATAAATAGTATGAAGAACACAAACAAGGAAGGGGAACAGGGAGGTAGACTGTGTGGAGACGGGAAGGGGGCCTAGGGATGAGGAGAGAGCCTGGAGGGGAAAGGGAAAGATAAAAGATTAAGATCCAGTATGCTTATGTGCCACTGCCAAGGTGAATGTAATTATGCATTGCAAGCATGTATAACACTTTTTAAAAGAGTTGTATTAGTCCATTTTTTCATTACTATAATAAAATACCTGAGGCTGGATTACCTTACAAAGTAAGGAGTTTTATTAGTTCACAGTTTGGGAGATTCGAGGGAAAGGCACTGGCATCAGTTGGGCTCTGGCGAGGACAGAACATCTGATGGACACAGAAGAACAGGAGAGTACGAGGGAGGATGTGACCGCAGGGCTGGGTTCACCCTTCCAACAACTCAGTCTTGCGGAGGTCTGGAGTCCCAAGGGAGCTTGTAACTCCAGCCACAGACAGAGAGAACTGCAAACCGCACCGGCCGTGAGAACATCTTCGGCCCACTTCCTGCCCCTCCTTACACCTTGACCCTGAAGTTGCCAGGGGACGCCCAGTAGGGCTCGGGGAGGAATTGGCAAGAGGAGATCCGATACTCTCGCTCTTGCTGCTCAGTGGGACCTTAAGCCAAGCTCAAGCCCAGACCTGGTGTTTGGACATTAAATTGCACTGAACTCTTTAACATCTAAACATAAGAAAATTTCTTGTCATTATCATTACTTCAAGTTTTGGGTGGGGGAAAGTAACACCAATACAAATTTTAATAAATATCTGCAAAAAGGTGTTGATTATACTTATTCAGTGTTGAGACCAAGCTTGCACTAGTCTGTGGAAGCCATGTCCTACCTACATTCTGCATCATGCCACCAAGATGTCCTTTCCACTGACAGGGAAGTACAAGACGATTTTAACGCTCAAGGGTGGCCTAAGATGCTGGGATTTGTTCATGCTGTCATCCTTAGCAAATCCTTTCAAGGCAGGTTTGAAGAGGGGTGAAAAATACTTATTTCCGTATCTTACCAAATATAGCTTTTCAAATGCCTGTTATGGAGACAAAAAAGAGGCTTTAGAGGGACACAAACAGAGATGAGCTCTGCTTTGAAATCACCACCCAGGGAAACTGAGGAAGCAAACAATAGTGAGAGGGGAGCCGTTGCTAATGAAGAGGCACAGGGAAGGGTCTGTGCAAAGGCCCTGAGGTAGGAAAGAGGATGTGGTGGGGCTCACAGTCCCTGCCAGGGCAGAGCTTGGCAGATGACAGTGGAGTCGATTCGCACAAGGTGATGCGGTCCACGGTAAAGAGTGTGGATGGGCTTGCAGGGCATCCCAGAGTCCCAGCAGCAAACTAATCCAGTGTGACTTAATGTGTCTCAGATGCCACTCACTGTTATCTTGAAAATGGCCAGGGGAGGAGAAAGAGTTGGAGACCCATCAGATGGACATAATAGACTTTTAGAAGAAAAGGCAAAATACACCCCTAGTGGTTGTTTTGCTCAAGCTTACAGAGCCCGGTTACCTCCAGATCCCTTCAAAGCAATTTATTGGAAATTAACAGAGAAACAACACACAGGAAGAGCAAGCATCTGTTACACTGTCATATGTGTACATATATGCATATATTACATATGGTGTACACATACATGTTACAAACATACATATATCCCCTCTTGGTCCTCACTTACCTTGTTCTTGTACGGTAATTTTCTCACCTCTTCTCCTTTCCTCTATCTACAATTTCTAATCTCTCCTTGAACAGAATTTCAATGTTGTACTTTTCGGTTGTTCTTCAGCCACCTCATATCCATTTAATTTTATTTTCATAGCCTGTCACAGTGAAAATTCAGAATGAGAGTCTTTTCTAGCAATTCAGAAGATAGGCAAAAATATACCATCAATTATCAAAACGTCTTGATTTTTTTCTCACCAGCAGTTACACTGAGCAGCCTTCTCTGGCTGACCCTTTGACATGGCTGACCCTGGGCTCCCCCATCTACTGTCAGCCCCGCGGGGGGGAACCCCAAACACTTCTCCTTAGGACAGATGATTTCCCAGGAAGCTCCGCCCTCTCCTACGCATTGGAGCCTGGCTTCAGTAGCTGCTATGCATGGAGCCCTTGTCCCGGATGAGGCCCCATGCTAAGCACTTTACATATATTATAATAATCCATCGTTACAAGAACTCTTTAAGATAGCAACCCTTATACAGCATACCTCATTTTTTGTGCACTGCTTTATTGTGCTTTGTGGATATTGTGTGTGGGGGTTTTATTGGGGTTTTTTCTTTTTTCAAATTGAAGGTCTGGGGCAACCCTGTGACTGGAAGTCTATGGGGTCCATTTCCTCCAATAGTTCAGGTGATTGTTAGCATTGTTTGGCCACAAAGTGTTTTTGGTACTAAAGTATTTTTAATAATGGCATGTGTATTTTCCTAGAAGGGACATGACGCTATTGTACATTTAGTAGCCTGCAGTGTACTGTAAGCCTTTTATATGCAATGAGAAACCAAAGAATTCGTGTGACTTACCTTGTTGCAATATTTGCTTTATTGCAAGATTCACTTTACTGCCATGGTCTGGACCCACACCTGCGGTATCTCCGAGGTATGCTTGTATATCCTTATTTTACAACTAAAACATGAAGGGTTCGGTCACATACCCCAGGTCCCCCAAACGGTCAGTGGTGCCTCCCTCCAAGATCAAACTTGGGGTTTGAAATTTTGATCTTGATTCCACCGTACCCACCGCCCTGGTCACGCCCAGACAGGATGTTTGTCCTCATCGCCCCAGATCAAGTGTCTCATGGGCTTGCTGTGTGCACTGGGCGTGGCTTTGTTCTACGTCACTGCCCAAAGTGGCCTATGACAAAGCGCAGGCCTAACTCGGGCCCAACCCCAGCCACGCTGTTTCCTTGTAGGTGTAGGGGAGCGAGACAGCCCGTGGCGCCCCGGGTCAGTTTACAGTAGGTATGGACCTGTGCATCTTCTCTCTCCCGTGCATTTCATGACCATGCCACTAGCTTGAAATTGGCATCACGGGAAGATTTACACCAGGGAAACTGGCAGACATTACAGACCAGGGATTCGGTGGGGGGAAGTCATGTTCACCAATGCACCACTTGGGACCCAATAGGATAACAATAAAACCATTTCTTAAAGTCTTTTCATTAAAAAAAAAAAAAAAAAAAAAAAGCTTAGCTGAAATTGTCCACATAGGAAACAGTTCTCAGCATTGCAAAAATCTTTTCCCAACCTGTGCCACTCTCCTTGCTGCATTAGGACACTTGTTCATGCTTTCCTACATTCTGTTGAGCTTGCAGTCTTGCTGGAAGGAGGGAGCCAGTCTCAGGTGCTGAACACCAAATTGCTTATTGGAACAGCTGCTGCTTTCAGCTGAGTAAGCAGGACATTCAAGGGTGGTGCTTTCTTACCATGGTGCTGCAGCCAGTTAAAAATTAGTGTTAGGGTAGAAAATAAGAAGCAAAAGGGAAGCCACACGATGTTTTCATAGGAGCCACAGCCAGAAGCCTCCCTGAGACTTTCAAACACAGTGTAAAGGCAAGAATGGAAATATCAAAATCCAAAAAGAGCTGCCTCTGAGCTTGGGTCCACCGCTTGCTGCACATTCTGATGGGATGAAAAGGTACGAAAAGAAAAAGATGTAATGAATGAGAAGGAGAACTCTCAAGGCAGAAAGAAAAACAGACTTTTCACTATGACAAAAACTCAGTCATGATCTTAGCACATTCACTTGCTTATTCAGTTCTTGGTGGCACCTACTATGTATACCGTGAAAAATATTTGGTATAGCTGTGAGCAATAGAGTCCTAGTTCCTGCCCTCTTGGAGCTTGAAATCTAGAGGAAAATAGATACATAAAACATGTAGCGCTAATAAAATTTGATATTCGTCATAATAATGAAAACCAGTGAGCCACGGGAATATGAGAGAGGGGAGTTGAGACCTACCCAAAGACCAGAGAATCATGTCCTCTCCTGCTTTACAAAGTCCTGCTCCCAGAATGAAAGGATAAAGTAGCTACAAAGCCATGACAGGCAGCATGGCCGCGACTCCTCTCTCTTGGAAGAGCTTGAGTGGGTCAGACACTACAGCTTTGAAAGCCAGAGAACTACCTACCTTTACCATGTATAAGGACAGTACTTGTATTGTACTTACCTTTCAGGTTTATTTGAATTAAATTAGTGTAAGGTTGTACTGATATGCTTTCTCACTGCTGGGACAACATATCCAACTAATACAACTTCATGGAGAAAGGGTTTATTTTGGCTCACGGTTTCAGCCATTGGTGGAAGTTATGGCCTATATTTGGACGCCCCCACCAAAGGCTCATGTGAATGAGGTGGGGCCACTTTGGAGGTGGCCGAATCTAGAGTGTATGACACTGGGATTCACGGAGTGTGATTACTAAACCACTATATTTGAGTGACTGGTTCAGGGCTGCCCTAATCCTCAGTAAGTTGAATAAGATAAAAAGGGCAGGAAGTCACTGTTAAGGTCTCTCGTTGCTTTTGCTGCCTTCTGCTGTCATGAACTCTTGTCCTCCTGCCGTGTGCTTCTCTGCCTTGCAGCCAGCTGATTATGAATGGAACCCTCTACAAACTGTCAGCCAAATAAACCTCTCCTCCTTTAACTCCGGGTGTCAGGTGTTTTGTCTCAGTAAAGAGAGGGCAGTAGCTAACCCAGCTGGCTGGGTGGAAGGCAGAAGCAAGACGGTGGAAGGGCAGGCAGAAGAAAGCTGCTTAACTCATGGCCTCTGGGAAGCAGACAACAGAGAAAAAAGAGCTAGAAAGGAAGAGGCCAGGAGCCAGATACAGGTCAGGTCCCTGTTACCCACACAGACATACCCAGAAATATGCTTTACTATCTCCTAGGCGTTCATCAAGCCGAGCAAGATTCACCATCACAGGGATGCAGGACTCATTAGGGTACACGACCTCCAGCAGGTGCTCAATAAATGATAGCTACATATGAAGATTCCCCAAAGAAAGTTTTATTTTAAAATTTAAGGATCTCTCTTCAGCTGTACTCACTGGCCACTTGGTGAGTACTTCTCAAACTATCCATCAGCAAAAGGATTTAATGAGGCTCCACAGACCTGACCCGTAAGGTAATTTAAGAGTTTGCACAGCAAGATCCTTCAGAAATGCTTGCATTACGTACTTCTGGAGTAGTTGACATTTGTTTCCAGCAGCAGCTAGCATGCCTACGTCCTTTCCAACCCTCCTGGTATTGCTTTACCCAAAATGTCGTTTCCACCCATACTGACTCCATACATTCCCAGAACGCCCCAGGTGAGTTTCCATTTCATTCTACTCAATAAATGGCAATAGAATAAATGTGATTTAGATTTGTTTACATTTGTAAAACTTTCCTCTTAAATCCTTTGTCATGACATATGTCAATTTGATATTAGGGACGATATGTTTGTCTTTCTTGCACTTTTGCTCACCTTCAGCATAAATTATCCAAGAATATAGTGAAATGTAAATTGATCTGCTTTCCCAAAATTTGCATTACTTTAGTACTGCAGATCATATTGGCTTTGTTCTTTGGCCAGACTTACAAGGGAACTGTTTTCACATATTAATGTACATGGTTTGAACAGTCATAGTACCTATGACAGGATAAAGGGAATTAGTAAAAACCTAGTGAAAGCCATGTGGATACCATGTAGAACATTGTGTGTTTAGTTTAGTATCTTGCATCTTTTTGCTGCTGAATTAGCCAAAAAAGCGGGGGGGGGGGAGAAGAAGTTTTCATGCAAGCACCAGGTTTCAGGTTCCCAATTAATAAGGAGCATTTTGCTCTGGTCTGAAATGATCAGATCAAAACCGGGATCACAAGGTAATGCAATTGGCGATTATGATATCTGTCTGTGCCCACCCCACTCCACCCAGCACAAAGTAAGAGGAAAAGGTGGAGTCCTCATCGATGCTGACAATGGAAGCACTAAGGCACTGGTTACCAGAGTTTAACCCATGTGCTTCAGAAGCATCCTACAGGGCCGGGGATTTAGCTCAGTGGTTCTGGTGACTGCCTCGCAAGCACAAGGACCTCAGTTGAATCCCCGGTCCAAAAAAAACAGGCATCCTAGAGCTAGTGGATTCTTGCATGCCTATGATTCCAGCTACTCAGCTACTAGTGATCACCAGCCCAGGGCCAGCTTGGGCAACTGAGACTCTGTCTCAAAATTTAAAAAATAAAAAATAAACAGGGCTGGGAATGTGGTTCAACATTTGGGGTTTAATCCCCAACACTGCAAAATGGGAGTAAAGCAACTTGGAGCACTTACTTAAAAGTTGATTTTAAGAATCTAATTCTAGCGAGGCATGGTGGTGCACACCTGTAATCCCAGCACTCAGGAGGCTGAGGCAGGAGGATCGCTGTGAGTTTGAGACCAGCCTGGGCTACATAATGAGTTCATAGTGAGACCCTGTCTCAAAAAACAAAGAAAGAATCTAATTCTAGACACTCCGATTTGATGGGTCTGGCCTGGCAGACCTGAAATCTTCATGTTTTAACTAGTACCTACATTTACTGCTAGCCCCCAAAACATGTGGTTACAATAGACAATGAGGGCCGACACTTTGACGTTATGTAGATATCCTGTTCTTCTTTAGACTTGCTCCCTAGTTTTAGCAAGCATAAGCCAATTTGTAACTATCACAATTGCAGAATGGTGGTTTTCTAAACTCCGCATTTACTAGTTGGTATTTATCATTTGCTGTTTCTTTCTTCTATATGAGTTGGGATTTAGTACTTCTTCCTTATTCCTTTTTACATTTCTTAGTTGAGGTCCCAAGGAAGAGCTTGCCCATTGATGGAACTCATGTATTTATTTTATCCAATGAGAGCTTAATCTATTCCTCTCGTGTATCTTTAATGTTCATATTGCCACACATTTGGGCACAGGAAGGCCCTTCAAGCTGGCTCCTCTGACCTTCTAAGCATTTCCTTTCTTTCTAGGGAGTGCAGTGTTCCACACTTGAATCAAACAGTTCTCTAAGGAGCTCTCCTTCCCTTTAGTGGTCAACGGTGTCTGAAAGTAAAATGCTGTACCTTGACGGACCCAGTACCATTTCCATGGTGTTTCTGCCAAAAACTGTATATCTCAACTCTAACTATGGTGAAAAATCAGACAAACTAAAATTGAAGGACGTTCTGCCAAACAAACATATACTTTTCAAACATGCCAATCTCCTAGAAGACTAAGGAAGTGTTCGAAAATAACAGAGACACAAAAGACATAAAAACCGATTGCAACGCGTGATACTAGCTTAGATCGTGATCTGAATATTTTAAATGCTATACACAGGAAACTTTGAAGACAAGAGGTAGAATTTGAAAAAGGACTGTAGACTAGATAACACTGTACTAGTCTTAAATTTTATGATTTTGAAGGAGAGCATGATAAAGCTAATGAGGTGATAGGCGATGCATGATATGAAAGAATTCTTGGTGTTCTGATATTTTTGTGTCCATTTATATTTCTTTCCATATAGGAAATTTTAAATATTGGCAATTTCCCCAAGTGCAATATTGGTCCTATGTAATAATATATTTTAAAATATTTGTAAAGTCGCTTCTATCCATAATTTCATAAATATTCACACTTATTGAGGCTGAGTTAAAATAAATCAATTTAAAGGAAAATATTCAGTAAATTACAGCACAGGTGTTGTCAGAAGACGTGGGAAAAATCATGACTATTGACTAAGGACAACTGGTGCTCAAAAGGAACATGAGTATTGTAGAAGAA